CTCATAACGTGGCTTATGTACAAAGCATTTATGCCACAAATGGGAACGGTGTATCTATTTCTTATGGATTTGCCATCTGGTCCATCACAGGTAATTTGTTTTTATTGAAGTTAGTATGGGAGGCCCCTACCTACTTTTTCATTTTTACTTTTGTGCCATCTTACTCTTAAATTTTTTTCATAAACTTGGAACAAGATTATCTTTAACAGATAAATTCTAGGGATGCATGCCCTGTAACCTTTTAAGAATTTTAAGTTCCATATTAATAATTATTGCTTCAAAGCAAAGTAATGTACTTTTGGCTTCACTTTAAGCAGTATATGTCATGATCCTAAGGGACCCCCTCAGAACAGGCCAAACGGCCGGCGGGAGCCCGCAACTCAGCCTTGGCTGACCCAAGCGCCAGCCAGGAGCAGGACGGCGGAGGCGAGCGACCAGGGGGCGAGCCACCATCGCTTCCCAAACCACCCAGCTTTGTAGGAGGTTCCAAATAAATTAGGGACGTAAAAAATAATAAATAGGGTGTTTCTTAGATATAATAGATTAGGCTTTGTGAGAAAGGATAAAAAGTAATTAGTTTTGAAAGTAGCCCGAATCTATAAGGGCCCTTTCCGTAAAATTAGATTGCTTAAGGACCAAGTCTCCCAAGACTATAATAAAAGGGCCCTATAACCATTCAATCTTAAATAATAAAGAAATAATATATTCCTTATCTCCTTCTCTTCTCTCCCTGCCGACGCCCCCTCCTTCCTGGCTCACGCCCGCGCCGCCACCCTTGCCACATGACGCGCCCTAGCCCTACGGCGTTGCGCTACCCCTACGGCCGCCCACGCCACCGCCGCCACCTCCCTTTGCCGGTGCAACCGCCCTCTCCACCGCCGCCCATCCGCCCCCCTATCCGGCCCTAATCTGGTGGCCCGAGAAAGGACCACAAAACCTAGTATCTAGATACCAGATCGATCCTATGGCCTCCACCACCACCGCCATGATAGCTGAGATGGCGTCCGAACCCTTGGAGGATATTCGCATCATTAATGGTCCATGGAGAAACAAACTCAACGATTTCTGGGATAAGCTCCAAAAATCGACAGCAGCTTCATAGGAAAATCCGGATTAGTCTCCAATCCAGAGTCCCCCAGCAAAATTAGATCCAATTCAATTGGAGAGCAAAACGCCACAGGACTCCAACGCCACAAAAATAATCAAGGAAAAACAAGAAAGGGAGATCACTGCAGAAGAACTCCAGGAGTGGATGGAACGCCCCAAATTATCAGGAATTCCAAAGATCGTGGAGCAGGTAACAAACAAGCTATTCATCACCAATCTGAAGGAGGCGGCATCCAAGGTGCCCATTCCCCAACTTCCAACAATGCCAGGCTCTCCACTTTTCCAACCAATAGCAAATCCAAAACTGCCATCAGATGGAATCTCCTCAGCGCCAACGCCTACTCCAGCAACAACTGCAACAACGTCAACAAAATCAGCCACAACAACAGGAGCACACCCGATCCTCTAGGCCATAACCAACAACTTCAACAATCCTATGGGAAAGGAGATTGAATAGGGAACCATCACTGCCAACGATCACAGCCATATGCATCAAACCCACGATCCTGCCGACGACAACACAACGCTGGAGATCCCTATTCATCCAGCAACGGGCGATGAACAAACATAGCAGGATGCGCCCAACAAGGATGCAACTACAGGCGCCTGGTTCACCGCCAACATCATCGTAGCACCAGAAACCCAGATTGGGCTAGCACAGAACAAGGATTTAACTAAACAGGAGATAACAAACACAGATCAATCTACAAGGGCAAACGTCACCACTAACAAATCCTACACTCCCACCGACATACTGCTTACTGCCCTCATAATCTCCTCTATCAACACCATGGTCACCAAGATGCTCAAGAAGTCGCGACCACCATACATCTCTTCGCCAACCTGTGACGATGGGAGGTTACCAGACTATGTGAAATTTGACAATGGACCACAAGCAGAAAATCTAAATAAGCCCTATTGGCCGATACAACCAATCTTGATGAATGCCGGCATCCCACGCCCCCTCATAAACACCATGCATAAGGACATCAACAACAACAACAACAACTCAGCGATCATGATGATAATGGGAGAAAAACACTTAGACGTGCAAGGATGGAACATGATGCTTGTGGCAGGCACCGCCAATGATTATGAAGCAAACAGCAACATCGGCACCACGCCCAACATCATCCATGTCAATTTTGCCAGGCAAGCAAACTTCATGGAACAACATGCCAGCACAACAACTTTCGTTGGTAACAACAAGAAGATCGCCTGTCAGGGAGAACACTTCAGCATACTATTTGTTCAGCTGCATTTTCCCATGAATGACAACACGACAAACCCACTGGCATGGCTCCACTCCTGCAACAACTCCTTCAAAGAATAGCATATCCCCAACACAGTTAAAATCGGGTATGCAAACTTTCATCTAACATATGGAGCACAACTAGAGTACATGCACCTGAACAAAGACAAGGTAGTGGCGGTCAAGGAGCGTTTAGCCCACTACAACAACGAGTACCTTAGCCTCCTAACTAGAGGGAACTCGCTGGCCGAGCAATAGCAAAACAGCATCGACATCACCTATGGCAAGCACTTACTTACGACTACCAGGGTAGGAACGACATCAACATCGACATCTACCTCGACCTCACAACAAGGGAGCTCCAACCACGTCACCCCCTCCTCAACAAAAGCCAAGGGCAGCCAGAGCCACATAGGGGGACTCCGATGCCTGGCATCAACGTGGCAACCTTTGGAACAGCTTTCTTCCCCGAGCAACGACATCGACAACCGAGCAAAGATACAGCACGAGGATGCGCTGTGCAAAGAACAAGAGGGAGATGCCATGATCCTAAGGGACTCCCTTAGAATAGGACAAATGGGTCGGCAGGAGCCCGCAACCCAGCCCTAGCCGACCTAAGCGCCAGCCAGGAGCAGGATAGCAGAGGAGTGCGACCAAGGGGCGAGCCATCGGTGCTTCCCAAACCACCTAGCCTTCTAGAGGATCCAAATAAATCAAGGACGTAAAAATAATAAATAGGGTGTTTCTTAGATATAATAGATTAGGATTTGCTGAGAAAGGATGAAAAGTAATTAGTTTCGAAAGCAGCCCGAATCTATAAGGACCCTTTCCGCAAAATCAAATTGCTTAAGGACCAAGTCTCCTAAGACTATAAATAAAGGGGCCTTATAACCATTCAATCTTAAGCAAGAAAGAAATAATCTATTCCCTATTTCCATCTCCTCTCTTCCTGCCGCTGCCCCTCCTCCCTTGCTCACGCCTGCGCCGCCACCCCTGCCGCACGCGGCACCCCAGCCCTAGGCCGCTACGCATCTCCTACGCCCGCCCACGCCGCCGCCGCCACCTCCCTTCGCCAGTGCAGCCGCACCACCGCCCTCTCCATCGCCGCCCGGCGCCCCCTAGCTGGCCCTAATCTAGTAGCCCGAGCAAGGACCACAATAGCATACAAGATGAAAAAATGTCTCTAGTTCACAAAATATAGGTGTTCATCATGAAAGTTGGTTGCTGCTTTTTTGGTGATGTCTTCAACATACATGGCTGAAATGAGGAAGTAAAGGAGTCTCATCATTATTACAATATACAAAGTAGAAGATGTATTATCAATTCATGCATGGTCTAGGTAGAGATAAAGCAAACCACTAGAAAGCACACATTTACACCGTAAACAAACTTTCCACTGTAATAGAGCCAAATAACAAGATAACCTTTTCTCTTCAAATTACTAAAAAGATAAAGCAAATGACTAGAAAGCACAACTTTACACCATAAACAAATATCCACAGCAATAGAGCCAAATAACAAGGTAACCTTTTTTCCTCAAATGATTAAAAAGATAAAGCAAATGACTAGAAAGCGCACCTTTATACCACTAACGAACATCCACTATAATAGAGCCAAATAACAAGTTGAAATTTTCCCCTCTAATGACTAGAAAGATAAAGCAAATGACTAGAAACAAACACCTTTACACCACAAGTAAACATCCACAGTAACAGAGCCAAATAACAAGATAACCTTTATCATCAAACGACTAGAAAGGTAAAGAAAATGAATGAAAGTGTACCTTTACATAAAAACTGGCATCCAAATGAAAGTGTACCTTTACATAAAAACTGGCATCCAATGTAATAGTGCCAATGCAAGAAAAAAAGGTAACCTTTTGAGAGTGTCTATAGCTTGCACGAAACTCGGCTTCATCTCGAACTACACATTCCACAAGCACCTCTCTTTCTCATATAGCATGAATCTCACTAGTAACACACACGTGCCCACTTGATCATCTTAGTTGTCATACATAAGTACACAAGTAATATCTAGTACACAACATTAAAGTTGTTTGATATTTCTTTAACAAAGAAACTATTAAGAAGCAAGCATGTAAGATGGTAAACGACAAACCAACTATAGCTAAAAGATACAAAGGAAAGGTGCATGGATAGCATCATGAGTTAAATAATGTGTGAATGTATTGATAAAACGGTGCAAAAGATATGTGTAGCTACAAAGGATAGCAAAAACAAAAGTATATCTATCAACAAGTAACAACCTTTTAATATATTAATTTTTCCTATTTTAATTTCCACAAAAAGGTGACCCCTAGGTTTCCTATAAAAGCCACTGTATAAGGTGACCATCCTCATCGATCACCTATAGTGCTTTTTGGAGTTTTAGTTCTTCGGGGCTTTCAAAGTTCTAATCAATTAAGGTACAACATCTATCTTATAATTCTTTAAAGTAGTTTATATACAGGTTTGTTTCTAGGTATATCTATACTTTGAGAAACTATGTTGTTTTCCAAAGCTATGCTTGATAGGAGAATAGAACTAATAAGTTGTTGGATGAATCAATAGTTCATTTTATAATTAACTATATGAGTACTTTTTGTATTTAGGTGAATATATCAAGGCCAAACAAGAAAGAAATGGATCGTCCGATTAACATTCGTACATCACCAAGAACGCCCTTGTCATTGTCTAAGCAACAAATGATAGAAGAATTTTGGATGAAGAAACAAGAAGAAATTGAGGCGATTGAGGACTTTGGAGAGCGCACAATCCCCATGACCTGTCTAAAAAAGGTCATTTGTGCTGAGAAGGGTAAAATGATGATGACATCCGACACCCCAACCTTCCTGACAAAGGCATGTGAGATATTTGTGCAGGAACTTTCTGTCCGTTCTTGGGTGTGTGCTAGTTCCCACAATCGTAGCACGATATTGGACTCTGATATTGCTGAGGCAATTGCCTCCATTGAGTCCTATGATTTTCTAAATGATGTTCTATGCGCACATCTTGAAAAGTACAAGTCTGGTCCATGTCTACAGTCCACTAAGAAGCCTTATCACCACATGTTGACAAGTCAGTCGTACACATCCCTCGAATCTTCTTTTGATCAATACCAAATGACACAATTTATTCCTTCATCTACTAGATATAATCCCTTTCTTTGCATTCCTCCACCTTTGCCACCAACGAATGCTAATCCAATGCATTTACCCTTGGCACTTCCACCACAAAGAGCATGCCCCATAATGGTAACCCCAATAACACCTACACCAATTATGAGTGGATCATTCCCACCTATGACATACATGACCAAGGATCTAGGGTTCTTCAGGAAATGCATTAGCAACAACAATGCTGCTTTAGGTCTTATGACTCCTCAACAGTTACTTCTAGAAGCACTACCCAATATTCCAAATAACTGCTACATGAGTACCATTGCTTCTACCAATACATATTGTGTCGGTAGTGCTAGCACTAGTAATTTTGTTGCTCAAGATGGTGACATGGCATTCCATTTCCCTCATGTTCCTCTAAAGCCTTTTCAATTATCATCCTCTTCAACAATGGATAATATTGCTTGCCCTATATATACTGATATCGTTGAATTGAACCGTACCAAACTGGATGTTACACATATCGGAAATTCCACACATGGCATTAATCCTGAAGCTATTTTCAATGTCGAAGATGGTCAACAAACGCATATGGGAGATGAAAGCACTGCTGCCCATCATATGAATGTTGTGCATGGAGAGTTAGATGCAGAAGTTGTTATTACTACTACTAATGTGGGTGCAGATGACAACAATATAAATTGGGATGAAATTGAAATGGCTAGCAATTCCATGCTGATGGAATTTTGGAAAGATGTAATGATGGAAGAAGACCCGACACCTTTGCCAACCACTATCTCAACCAATGATCTTATTGTGCTTCCTAGTGATATGTTGGAACTTGAGGGATGTTGTCATGATTCATATCTTCTTGATGATACCATGTCTGAAATAAGTACCGATGGAAGGCATAGCTAGATCGATTAAAGGCCGGAGAAGGAAGCAAGAACGTATATATGTAGTGACAAATGTTTTCTATCTGTATATGTTTGTGTCATATGGCTTCTGTAATAAAGACAAATGCAGTTGAACTTTTATCTAATTTGAGCAATCAATTTTGAGCAAGAGAGAGAAGAGGTCACACTAGAGATAAGGTTCGCTTCGGTGAGAGGGCTCAACATGCATATAGACAATTTGTTGAAGCTTGTTCTGTAATTTTAGTAGCTGTTTCATGGTCTATAAACCTAGCTCTTGTAACCTTGTCGCTTACGGTCTAGCTGCCTTTCGGGCAAAGTTGTGTCCGGGTACTAATCCGATCACGGATAGTATTCCAGCTTGTACTAGCGTCTTTGTAGCCAATGATTTGGCATTAAGTCTAAGTAATGGAGATCGCTTCCATGTTAAAAAAAGAAACTTGTTGAATCTTGTGAAAATGGGCCGGTATGGGCAAGACAGCGAATTTTGTTGGTATAAATCTGCCATGGGCTCCTCCTGAAATTTTGACCCAAACCTATCCTGGGAAAGTGTCGGATCCGGTTTTGGGTGTTGGGTTGGGTTTTTTTTTTTTTTTGCATGTGATATGTTGGGTTTTTCCAAGTTAGGTCAGCTTTCGGTCATCTACTCCAATGGCTTTCCCTAAAAAAAAATCTACTCCAATAGCTGGAGTGGGTTAAAACCATAGTTTGAGTTCAGTTGGAGCATTTGTCCGACGCGTTTGGGTTCCGCTTCTGCCGCGTAGTGCCTAGCTCGTATCGGCCGCGGCCGCGCGGCCCCGGTTATACGCACGCGGCAGGGTGCCATCAGGTGGACGTGGTCACCTGGATCCTTCCCAGTTCTCTTCTCCAATGCGAAAGGGAAGACAAGCCACCAGTGTAGTGGAGGAAGCGGTTGGGTGGTTGCTGCGACGCGGTTGTTTGTTTGTCATCATGTGGCAAGGGTTGGTCAAGGTCAATTGATAATAATTATGTCATGGACCCAAATTTTATGTAAGGCCTTGTTTGTTCCTCCCTCAAAAGTTTACACCATATTTCATCGAATGTTTGACACATACATAGAGTATTAAATATAAACTAAAAAAAATAACTAATTGCACAGATTGCGACTACTTTGCGAGACGAATCTTTTAAGCCTAATTAGTCTACGATTTGATAATAAAGTGCTACAATAATACATACGCTAATAATGGATTAATTAGGCTTACTAAATTCGTCTCACAGTTTACTGACTGATTCTGTAATTTATTTTTTTATTAATATCTGAACATCTCATGCGACACCCCATGTGACACCCGATGTGACGCTCCAAAACTTTACGCCCTATAACTAAATGAGACCTAAGCAAGGTTTCAGCTAAAACAGTACTCGTACTAGCTAGATTCATATTTGAATCACACCCTCCTCTTTCCGGTTGCGAAAATGAACACAGCTTTCATGCTAAAAATGTTTCTTTTCCTCCGCAGAAAAGTCTTTCGAAACAGTGAAGGCTAGAAATCCCAGGTCCAACCTCAAACGGTTTTGCGTCTTTGAAAATGTGTTTTTCTGTTGCATTACTATTAGTCTTCTATTAATTGCTATAGTCATGTGTTACTCTTGCAGAACTATTCGACATCAGATATATTCAAATTAGGCGACGTTTCCATCGACATCGAGGCGCCTGTAGTGACTTCATCAATTTCGAGATGTGCCGACACAGTTTTTCGAAGGTGCTCATAGGGAAAGGGTTTGCGTACGTGTGTTCATAGGGGGTGAGTGTACGTGCGTATTAAACGTCTGTACTTATGTAATTCGTAAAAAAAAAAAAATAAGACTATAGATTTGGTAAGTCCCTTGAACCCAAACAATGACTATTCATTTTGTCTCCGTTACCATCTATATTAAAGGTCCATGCACATCATAAGTATATATGTAGTTTCCAATTCGAACAACTTAGTCCCCAGCGTTGGAACCAAAGTTGTCGTGCAAGGTTACTCCATGTAATATAATGTATTCTGAAAATTTTAAGACAACTTAAGTAAACACTCAAATGATGTGCGTATCCATGGATTAAACCCAATTAAGGAGCCGTTTGGTTATATGGGAATTCCCAGCCACACTGTTCATTCGTTAATTTATATAGCAACAGAATAGTTCCGGACGTAAGACGGTCTCGAATGGGCTAACTGAACGGGCCCTAAGTAGTTTCTCCTCGTATTATATGGTTTTCTTTTTAATAAACTTTATCAAATATCAGCATGGGCATCACATAGAATATATTTTAGTGTAAATTTTAGAAGTCATGACGCACTATATTTTAGAATAAAGAATGTGTAAGCTTGCTCACTCATTTTGGAAAGATCCTGTTGTCACCGGCTTATATTAATAATAAGGAAAGAAATAGAGTTAGTGTGTGGCGGGTAGATTACGTAGCAGAGTGCTAGTAGGTGGATACCCAAAATTTCTTATTAGCTACTCCCTCCGTCAAAAAAAAGAACGATGTTAGGGGATGTGTGCTGATCAAACTTAGTTAAGTTTGACTGAATTCATAGAAATAATGCAAGCAACATTTGTATCTCCAAATATATCTAATAATACCAATTATGGACTGTAAATATTAATATTTTAATATATACATTCGGTCAAAATAAAAAATATATGACTTCTTGAAAGCGAGAATGACATTTTTCGTGGGAGGGAGAGATTTGACATTTTTCGTGGGAGGGAGAGAGTAGTGCTCAATAGATGTCTATCCACCGGGAGTTTAAGGCACATTTGGTTCTAGCAACGCCTCACCTCGCCTGGCTAACACAGACAACGAGGTGCTCACCCAGCCCAGCAAGCCAATTCCGCTCTCATGCACGAGCAAGCCAGATCTCGCTTGCACAGGCTCCCAGGCACTGATGGCAAAGAACCAAACATATTAACTCACCCAACATCCTTGATTGGCGAGTCCAAACAGTGCCAAGCAAAGTAAGGGCTGTTTAGTTCCAAAAAAAATTTGCGCACACATCGAATCTTGCGGCACATGCATGGAGTACTAAATGTAGACGAAAAAAAACTAATTGCACAGTTGGATGATAAATCGCGAGACGAAACTTTCGAACCTAATTAGTCCATAATTATACACTAATTGCCAACCATATTAGACAATAATTGCCAAATACAAACGAAAGTGCTACAGTAGCAAAAACCCCAAAAAAATTGCATCTAAACGCGCCATAACCAAACGTTCCCTAAGATCTTTGGCCCCCATTGAGCTTGCCTACTCATTGTATTTTTTTCTCTAAAACTTTTGTTAAAAGGAATATAAATTGATAGTAATTACCCCTTTGGACATTAAAACGTGGACACACTTACTAAGTAAACTTTGAAACATTGGCTAGCTTTACATCTGAAACGTTTGATTGAAACCATAAAAAATCATACACCTATAATTAAGAAATAATCTACTATATAATTCCATGTCCAAAGCAGTAGGCAGAGTACTGCATAAAAGTAGTCCCATCTCAACAGGCCAAACCCAAATCACAGCTCAGAGTCTCACGCGAGCTCAGCTCCCTCCCTCCCACTCCTTGGCATCGTACCGTTGACCAAGACCAACCGGCGACGGCGAGGCAGCCGCAGGCTCCCCGGCTCCTCCTCCTGCGCCCACCATGTCCGGCAGCGGCGGCCGCAGCCGCGAGAAGACGTGCTGCGGCAGCTGCTGCACGCTGCTCGTCTCCCTGGGCGTCGTCGTGCTCATCTACTGGGCCATCTTCCAGCCGCACCAGATACGCGCCCGCGTGGACTACGCCGAGCTCTCCAACCTCACAGTCTCCAACGCCTCCTCCTCCTCCGCCGCCGTCGCGGTGTCCTACCACGTCGCCGTGAACCTGAGCCTGTACAACCCCAGCAAGCGCGTCAACATCTACTACGACACCCTGGACGCGGAGCTCCGGTACCGCGGCGCCGTCCTGAGCCCGGCCGCGACCGCGACCGCGGCTGCGTCCCCCGCCGTGTTCTACCAGCGCCGGAAGTCCGCGCAGGCGGTGAGCCTCGTGTTCGACGGGAAGGGCGTCGCCGTCCCCGGCGGCGACGACGTCGGGAGGCAGCTGGAGGGCGAGGTGAAGGCCGGCGTGAAGCTGGGCCTGGAGCTCAACGTCGACGCGCGGGTGAGGTACGTGTTCGGGAGCATCAAGATACGGCAGAAGCCGACGGTCTGGTGCGCGCTCAGCATCCCCGTCCCGTCGGGGCCGGGCGGCATGGGCATTCTTGGCTCCGGCGACCGGTGCTGGGTCAAGTACCGGTGATGATTGGGTTGAGTTCACTTGTTGATTATGATGGATTGTTTAGTGGCCGGCTTTGGCTCTGATTTATTGTTCAGAGATTGATTGATACAGTATTTTTTTGGGTTAATTGTTGGTGTGTAGTGTGAGTGAGTACAGTAGTTGAATTCGTGAGTGTGAAAGGTGATTGAGCTATTGCATTATTCATTTGTGAGTGGTTATAAATAAAAGAAATCACATCAACAAGTGTCTGGTGTGCAATTCTAGCCTGAACATGACTGCTGCTAGCTACTGCCTGCTTGGCTGCTTCTTACAGCACGCAACTGGGTCTTGTGAAAGTTGGGCCTCTTACATTTGCAGTGATTGGTGGCATAGTTCTCAGCAGCCAGCTGTTTAGCCTTGCGATAGGTTCCACGTGAGACGTGACTGGGTGTTTGGTTCCCCTCTCCTAGAGTTTAGTACCATGTCACATAAGATATTAGGACTAGTTCGACGGTCGGACCGCTAAAAGACCGAACTAGAGCCAGTTCGGTTCACTTAAAAGACCGTATGTGCAATTGAACCTCTAAAACCCAGTTGAACCGGCTGGTTTTTTATGGAACCGGCGAACTGTTAAGGTTTTGTTTTTTATTTTCCAGAGTTGCCCCTCTGTGCACTCAGGGAAACCTTAGCTCCCTAGGGGCATTGTTCTAAACTTGTAAAAATGAGTCCTGTCTGCCGGCAAGGGAGGCAAAATTCTCTTTTCTCGATTCTGAGCGGCGACGGCTCTGCTCTGGCCTCCCTGTGGCGGCGCGCGCAGGCAGGTACCGGCGCCGGCAGGCCACGAGCGCGGGACGCGGGCAGCTTACGCGCAATGGGTGGCTGCGGCGGGCAGCTACTTCGGTGAATCGCGGGTGGCTTCGGCCGTTCGGCGGGCGGCCACGGTAGGATGCGTGCAAGGCCGCAAGGGGCGGCCGCAGCGGGCGGTGGACAAGGAGCGGCCGCAGCGCCCGACTCCTGCAGTGCTGCACTCCTGCTTGCCTGCTTCAGAGTTTCAGAGTTCAGACGACTGCACGTCTGCAGTCCTGCTTGCCTGCTTCAGAGTTTCAGAGTTCAGACGACCGTACTGCTACTGACGGCTCTCCACTGATCCAGATCCATGGTGAGCTAGTGTTAAACTGAGCCGTTGACCAGATCCATTGTAGTATGAGAAGCTCCAATGTTTTTTGTTCCTGATTGCTTTAGTGTTTAATTTCAGTATGAGAACTTGAAGAACACCTTTTTAATTGGATTCCATTGGTATTTGTCCAGTAAGATGTTTGAGTGTCAATATTGATTTGAGTAAAAGCCTAAAAGGTAACTCTTGATAGTTGATTGATTCACAAAATACTCAACATGTGTCAATTATTCATTATAGCATACACATATTTATATACCGGTTCAAAATATTTGTGACCGGTTCAATTTATCCGTTCCAACACAATCGAACCGGTGGTTCAATCGGTTCTAAACGGGTGGACCAATAAACCATTGAACCGACGACCTCACCGGTTCGATCTCCGGTCCGGTCTGGTCCAGTCTGGGTCTTGTGAAAGTTGGGCCTCTTACATTTGCAGTGATTGGTGGCATAGTTCTCAGCAGCCAGGTGGCCCAGGTGTTTAGCCTTGCGATAGGTTCCATGTGACTAGGGTGTTTGGTTTCCTTCCTAGAGTTTAGTCTCTGTGACATCAGATGTTTGGACAATAATTTAGAGTATGAAACATAGGCTAATTACAAAACTAATTGCACAGTTTGAGACTAATTTATGAGACGAATCTATTAAGCCTAATTAGTCCATGATTTGACAATGTGGTGCCGCAATAAACATGTGCTAATGATGGATGAATTAGTCTTAATAGATTCGTCTCATGAATTAGTCACGGCTTCTGTAATTAGTTTTATAATTAGTATCCGAACATCCGATGAGACACCCAATGTGACACCTCCTAACTTTAGTCCCTGAATCCAAAAGTTGAGTCCCTGTCACGTCAGATGTTTGTATATTAATTAGGAGTATTAAATATAGATTAATTACAAAACTAACTACATAAACGAAGACTAATTCACAAAATGAATCTATTAAGCCTAATTAGTCTATGATTAGTGAATGTGGTGCTACAGTAAACACATGTTAATCATAGATTAATTAAGCTTAATAAATTTGCCTCGTGATTTAGTCATGGTTTATGCAATTACTTTTATAATACCTCATATTTAGCCCTCTTAATTAATATTTAAATATTCGATGTGACAGAAACTAAACTTTAGTCACCGGATACAAACATGTCGTTAGTTCATCCAGACCAGCAAATGGAGCTCACTCGGTTTCTTCCTAGGCGAGCGCTAGCCTAGGCCACAGTTTGTACGGCCGTTGACGTGAAATTTCTCTAGTCAACGGGCCGGACTGTGCTCGGTTCCGGTTGTTGCCAAGCCACGAGACGTCGACGACGCCAGGCTGGCAAGGCCGCACACGCCACGAGTGCGCACTTCAGGGCCAGCCGACCGACCGGTCGTACATATGCGTCCCCGCGTGTGCTTTCTTGCTGACGAATGACGACGATGGGCTGTTCTGGATTTTTACGCGCGCGGCGCGGTAACTGCTCTGGAGACGTAAAAAAATTGGGCTCCGTTTGATGGAGATGGAGAGCTCCTGAGGTGAACTCGTGCCAAACGGGCCCAACGTCAACCAAACAGTACAAAAGAACCGCCGCACCGTTGCTTATATAATTTTTTTTGAAAAAAAACTAATCAAAACAGAGAAACTTAACATGTGTTAACATAAAAAAAATGATATGAGCATATATATACATGAATAGTAGGAAAGTGTGCAGGTTCAGCTGTTTCTAAACAACTATCTACTTAAGTTTTTATCATTTTTTTCTCTTTCTTTCTGTTATGAAATTAGATATGAGTTTACAAGTCGAAATATTCAATATAAGTTATCGGATCAGATTTGTTGTGTTTAACAATGTCAATTGGAGACAAAATCAACATGAAAGTTGTAGTACTCAATAAGATCTATAACTTTGCAGTTATTGTAGTTAAAAGAATAGAGTCAGCTATATATAGTCAAATGTGCCACGTAGTAGCTCAGTTGGTAGGTTCAATTCGCGCGTTTGAGGGAATATCAACATTGAGATTGAGACCTCAAGTTCGAATTTTGAAAACCACATATTGATGGTCTTTTTTGAGGTAAAGAAGATAAAGATTTTGGCATGACACTTTTTTCCGACCTGACATATGATTAGGTCTACACAAAGAATATATAAAAAAAAGATGATGACATTCCCATCTAGCACGACCTCCACTTCCTCCGCCCTAGGGCCCTCACTCGCCTCCGCGACGCCAGGCTGCGCCGCTGGAGTCGTGCCTACCGGCCGCCCCTCATGCCCTCATCGCCGGAGCCGGCATCGGCTTCCTCCTCGTCACCTCCTCCTGCGGCTAGAGACTACGAGGGCGTCGCGGCCGTGCCGTACTTCGTGCTCGCGTCGAGGCTTCGCACGCCCCGGTGCCCCCGGCGAAAGAAGCTCGCGTAGCCAAGCCCATGGTGCTCTTCGCTCCGCCACCTCCCAACTCCGATTTGCCGAGATCGAGGCGTTATCGAGTTCCTCAACGCGCCTGACATGGTGGACGCCTCCCACTGGAGTGTCATATTTGACATGTTGCAAGCGTATGTTTCAAGTGTTTCAGATGTTCCAAAGATATGTTGCAAAGTGTTTCATAGGATGTTGCAAAGTAGATCGGGAATAATGCATATGTTGCAAAGTGTTCTAAACGCATGTTGCAAGCGTTTGTTCAAAATGTTTTATCTGTGTCAGACGTATGTTCCAAGCACTTTTGATCTAGATGTTGCATATGTTTCACACATATGTTGCAAGAGTATGTTCAAAACATTTCAATTGTTTCAGTCTTATGTTGCAATAAGTGTTTTCATGTTGCAAGTTGTAAGTGTTTTATCTGCATACTGCATATGCTTCACACACATGTTGCAATTGTATGTTCTAAATATTTCATCTGCTTCAGACGTATGTTGTATTCAAGTGTTTCATGTTGCAAGTGTTTCATGTTTCAGAGGTATGTTCAGAGAGTCATTGGGGTATGGCCCGGGCGCCAAGGGAAGGGGTGCGGTGAGCCGGGGGCAGCGGATAGGGCGCGCGGCGCGCCTTGGGGTCATGTGGACGGGGCGTGCTCGTCCTCATCCGGTCTACCAGGTCCCACCCGCGTGGAGAGAGAGGTCCCACCCGCGCGGGGCAGGGCGAGGCGGATGGGGGCGTGGTAAGCGTGTGGGGTGAGACGAGGCAGACATGGAAGGACTATAGCGAATCCTATCTCATCGAACGTCTGGGCGTAAGCAATTCCCTTTTGAAATTTGAACATATCCAAACACAATAATCAGTCGGATAACGGTGATGTATTAAGTACCGTATGTATCCTTTATATAAAGCTCCTGGCCGGCGGCTGATGATGAAGTCCCACCATGGTTTACAGTTACACATAGGATGATCTCCGTCACCCAGGAGGATATAATTTCCCCTAGTCGTACTGATTGTTTACTATGTGGATGATTTTTTTCTTGCCAAAGGCGCTTTGTTCAGATTGACAAAAGATGAAGGAACAAACCTCTGAACTCGTGCGCAAGTTCTTGTTCAGCTTGTCGCAGATCGAACATCCATATAGTACCCTGTTGCCGCCCGCAGCTGCTCCACTGCCTCCGGTTCCCTCTCTCCTCCAGCGGCGCGACTGCGTGCTCCTTCTCTCCTCCGGATCTCCCTCTCGTGGCGCTGGCAGAATGTGAAGAAAAGGAAATGAGAAAGAGGGAGGGAGAGTCATTGATAGGCAGGTCACGTGTGTCAGTGGTTATGGGAAGGATTTGGGACTTTCGTTTGGATGCTACTGCTAGAGTGGAAGTACAAATTTAGATAACAAAAATGGGTATGGACACCAAAATTAAAAATAGGGGCTTTGATTTTGGGGCTACTGCTAGTGGCTTGACTTCCTCCCCTTTG